AAACGAGCTGCAGCTGCAGGGTCCTTAGTTGGGCAGCAGCTGTAGCTCGTGAAGGTAACTGAGATAAATAGGGGTGGGTCGAGAGCCCAAGAGGAGCCCCTGAGAAGAGAGACAGGACTGTGCTGCAGAGAAAGGAGAAGAGCCCCAGCAGAGAGGGAAGAACAACGTTGCAGCAAAGATTACAACACTGCCCCAGGGCCCTGCAGGTACCTCTGTGCTCCAGGTCATAGAGGCGCTGCAGCCAGAAGCTCCTGAAGGGAGCAATGCCCGTGCCCGCGCCGATCAGAATGCAGGGCTTGGCTGGCTCCTCGGGGAGGTGGAACTCATTAGCACTAAAAGGCAAGAAGATGGTAATTAGGTAACTGGTTTCAGACTGAAACTCACTGTTCACTTGCTTGAATGACTGAGCAGCACAGCCCAAGTCCCCAGTGTGAAAGCAGCAGTGGGGCTGAACAGGGTGCTCCTTGTTCCCTCCCCTTTCCTTGCTCTGCAGTGGAGAATGGGGTCATAGGAATAGAATTATTTCAGAACTTTCTAATGATGTGTAATTTTACTAAATTAAAGTCATGGTAAAAGATCAAATCTCTGGAAGACAGGAAATTCCCTCTCTTCTCAGACTCAGCTGTTCCAACTTCAACTCACCAATCGCTTGAAAATATCCAAAGGAAAACCCACGGAGGAAGCTGAACTAGGAGCTGCTGACATTTATTTAATTTTCTTTACCTGCGGATGAAGCAGGGAACGGTTTCATTGAGCTCTATTGTGTTCAGCCACGTGCTGCAGACTCCATGGTGCAAAGGCCCTTCTCCATCTAAAAGCAGAGCAAGGCAGAACACCTCTGATAGCACCCAAAAGCCCTCTGTTTTTAAAAAAACACACTTTATACTTAAAATTATAGCTTTAAAATAAATGTATGTCTAGTAATGATTTATAAAACATGGATACACTGATGATGGTGCAGGATTTTAGCAAATCTTGGCCCAGGAGGAACACCTGCTCTGCAGATACTATACTGCAGGAATGACAACGCAAATTTTTTATTACAGATATGCTTCATGCTGTAGGGCAGACAGGTTTTTTCCCCTGAACCACAATGTAGTCTAAATACCATTTAATTAAGAGAGAGATGAAAACAACAGTTCATTACCTCTTGTCCTGTAGTTTACAACTGCAACTGTCAGATGAATCTCTCTGGCTGTCATGTCGCAGGAGGAGCTGACAGAATAGTACCTGGGCTTCAGAAGTGGCAGCTGAGTCAGCAGGAAAGCTGTGGTGACCTCAGCAGAAGGGAACTCCTCCAGGACCTCCAGGATGTTTGGGCTGTTGTAAAACTTCCATTTATTGTATTCCTCTGTGCTCTACAAGCCAAAGGGCATCACCACAACATTACCAGGTCGTGCTGAGTTCAGGAGAGCAGGGGTATTTGAAACGTCACTTATAAATAAGATTCCTGCTTTGAAGTCAATTAAATATTCAGGTAAATCAATACAGAGTTCTCAAAACTTTGCCAGGACCAATACTGGGGTTTCCTAAAATAATTTACTTTTGAACATGGAAGTTCAGAACTCCACTACAATGTTCTCAGACACCTGCTCTCTCAGTGAGGATGCAGAAACTGGAGTAGAATTCATTTCTCAGCTCCCTGTCATGGCACATCCATGAAATTGTGTAGTCCCAGGTCCTGAGCCCTCCCGACTCTCCCTGAACCTGGTAGGAGGAGCCAGCACTCACCACACCTGTGAGTCACGACTTAAAGCCACATCTCTGTGACTCTCAGGGCAGCAAATTCTCTGACAAAAACATCTACCAGCTCCCCTGCAGCTCCTCCACATGCAAGGTGTAAGGTAAGGTCCCCAGGGGTGTCTCATCAGAAACCACCGTGAGGCAAGAGAACCAGGCAGGCAAGTGACCCACCCAGAACCACACAGGAAACACCCGATGCTGGCTCCCACACCCAAGCTGAGCCTCAGACCCCTCCTTCTCTCGCTGTGGCTGGCTTTCTAAGACCACAGAATATCTAACAGAGGCATAAAAATCCATCGCTACAAAAATTCTTGAGCTTCTGCTACAGAGTCAAAGGGCATCAGAGGGCCCAGTGGACAGTAGTGCAAACAAAACTCCAGCCCTAAGGCTCACCTGACACAGCACCTCCAGCCTCTGCTTGTCTCCTTCTGCTGTCACCAGCTGGGAAAGTTTTTTTAGCAGTTGTTGGGAGGGTGGAGTAGTGATATCAAGCAAGTATGTCAAAGCCTCGGGTAGTGTGCAGGCTGGAATCTTTTTGTGACTTGCCCAGTACCCACCTGGAAATGAGGGAAAGAAAAGGACTTAGCAACACCTGTGGTATTTGACTGCTGTAGAGCTTTGCAAAACTCACTGTCCTTCAAAATACCCCTTCAGGTGAGGGTGCAGCAGGTCCAGACCACAGGGCCCTTCTGAAGGAGGTTATTGTGAGGTTTTCAATGTTTTGTAAGGGGAGGATCTGACACAGAAAACTTCATGACAACAAGACACCACTTGGAAACGCACATTTTTCATTTGGGGAAACCATCCTTCTGTGTTCCAGAATCCTATGATTGTTCCTACTAATACGGGAAAGATGCGCAGGACATATATGTCTATTTTAGGACTTTTACATGTAGCAATAAGCAAACTGCTGATTAATTTAATTGCAGTCAATGGCCAATTCAGCAACTGAATTACAGTGTCACCTCGGGTACCTCTGCAAACCCTGGCGAAGTCATGGATTTTCCAGAAAGGGCAAAATCAGAACCAAGAATAACTAAAAAGCAGCCACAAATCCTATTGAAACTTGAGAAAAAGATCACAGAATCAAATTCAGTCAGCAAAAATTCTTAGGAATTTTAAAGGAATCTGTCCAACATCCTCTGTTGTTTTGTCTAAAGAGACTCAACTCACCATCAATGCAGGTTTCAAGCCTGATGGTCTGACCAGCTGGAGGGGCATCCTTGACACGGGCAATGATGCCATGGACTAATTCTGCCTGGTTGCCTGGGAAAATCCCAACGTGCTCCCCAGGAAGGTAGTGCACTTCGTGGTTAGTCTCACAGTGAAGTTTAACCAGAATGGTGACACGACTGCATAGCAAAGAAAGAGAGATGAGACAGATCTTGGTTACATTGACAGGATTTCCCTTGGGTTGCACAGGAAAGGAATAAATCTGCAGTGGCTCTTGGCAAGGGCTCCCTTGTGTTCATTATCAAATACCAGACCAGCTTAGGGCTTCACAAAGACTTAAACAAATCAGAGTCCAGGCATGTGAAGTACTTGTATCCAAACAAACTGGGTGCTGAAGTTCTGCCTGTCTGTCCAGTACAGAATAAACATGCCTGGAATCAGCCAGTGGAAGGGCTGTCCCACTGCAGACTGCTCACATGCTTCTACTAAGGACAGTACAAAAATCCAATATCTTTTGTAATAACTGCAGGGAGAAGATGTTTATAACCAGGCACTTCAGATGTTTAAGATTTTAGTAAAATGTAGTATTGCAATATTCAAAAGAATGAGATGGCATACCTGGACTTCGAACTTTGAAGATTCTGCCTGAATTTCAGCTTCATGGGAATTACATCCTTGGCATGAATGTTTGCAAGAGCTGGTGAGAAAATAAGATATGACTCTTGGTAACCTTGTGATTATGTTTGTTTAAAATGCCTTCAAATAATATGCAGAGGAGAACTGAACCATGCTTGCCCTAGAAGGTGACCAACCACCTTCAGTTATGTGTGCCCCATTCCCTGACTAAAAGCAGTTCATCTCAGCTTTTGTTCCTCTGGGGCTGTACAAATGTGTGATAGTTCCAGTGTTACTGTGCTGGAAAAGATAACTTACACAATGTAAACCAGTGTCTTTTTAAATCTGACCATGTACTTCATTATATGCATTCTAGCATCCAGCAGGGCCAAGAGCCCTTCTGAGAAACCTTCCCAGTGAGCCCCTCTGAAGCAGCAAAGGCACAGGGAGGGCAAGGTGGGAGCAATACCTTTAGCCAGGTCCATGGGCTGGGAGTCATGCACTACTCTGTAACTGGTAGGGTCCCAGCTTTCCTCAGAGGTGTAGATCTCAGGCAACTGAATACTGTGTCTCCCACGGATGTTAAAAATGTCACAGGCAGCCTAGATAAAAAACCCACAAAAATAAAGGCTATCCACAGTAAAAAAACTATTCTTAGCATTGTCATAATCCTAATAAGGAGCTATCAGTTTCACAGATTGCTGGTTTTTAGTGCCTCTGGTATGTGGGTTCAGTGAGTTCAGTAAGGTTGCACTTCTATAACAGTATAGCCAAAAAGGATCTACTTTAAAATATGTTTGATGCCAAATTTGTTCTTACTGAGCATTCCATTATCCAAAAGGGTTCACACAATTTTGTGTGGATATTAAAAATAATAAAAAAAGGGACCCCGTTCCCTCTCCTTGTTAGGTGAGCAGTAGAGAAGAGGGGAGTTCCAAATTCAGATCTAAATTCAGATGTTTGGTTTCCTTCATTTTCTCTCATTTTTATGGGAACTGAAGTGAATGGATGAGTGGGTAGAATGTGAGCTGTATTTCTATATTCACCTTGAAAGCACTGACTGCCCAGCTGCGGAATGCCTCTTCTTGCCCATTGAGCTCATCCCCTTCACCCACTGCAGTGAGCTGGGAAGCCCCGAGCTGGGCCAGTTTTTGGTCAATGGTGTGAGCAAAGGCACAGAACTCTGGGTACATGCTGGACCCCAGACCAAACACAGCATACCTGCAGGAGATGAAAAGAAGATTGCTGTGGTCTGTGGAGTGCTAAAGGACTCAATCACATGCAAACCAAACAACAAGGTATTTTTACCTAATTTTATTTCTCAGCAGTTTCAGTCTGAGCAAGGAGTCTTTCAAGGCCTGCAGAAAAATACATAAAATACTTAAGGTTAGAAAAATACTCTGATTTAAGACAGAATACTTTGATCTGAAACCTGATCCATATCTTACTGAAGGACATGAGATAAATGAAAGGCTTGTCTTTGGCCTTTGAGCTGAGTCTCATACACACTTCTGAGGTGAACATTACCTTTCCGTTACCTGGAGAATCTCCATTTCCAAAAGTGCTAGTAACCACTAAAAGAAGTGTTTCGTTTTCCAGGTCACAAATATTGTACTCATCCATGCACAGGATCTAGAAGGAATAAAGCTCATGAGACATCGCTAGCAGACATAAGAACTAGCCTTAGATATCTCAGATGACTGCTGACCAAACCCACACAGCATTATGCTAAATGAATACAAAATCAAAGTTCTAGTCCATCTTGTATTTACTGAACATTCCAAACACAGGACTGGAGAATGGAAAAGCCTGCAGAAGCCAAACTCCTGTGTCCAGGAGGTGTGTCTGGTTTGTGCTGCTCACCTTGGTGCTGAAGGCACAGCTGAACAGGCTGCACAGGTGGTTGGCGAGGGTCTCCGACTTGCCCGTCTCTGTCGCGTAGATGACGGTGACCTTGGCCCTGGTGGCCACCGCCCCTCGCATGAGCGAGGATGCAAAGAGCACAGCCCTGGGCAAGAACAATCGCACACAACTTTTCACGGAGCTACACTAATTCAGGTTGATTCACAAACAAGCTAGGAAAGACTGAGCTGGAGTATGGCTTTTCTTTGGAAGATCGTTCAGAAGCTGAGCAAGAACCTTAGACAGGAATGTTACCTCAGGGTGGACAGGTAAGGCTATGATTCAAACTACTCAAGTGGTCCTTACTATAAAAATGTTTTTTAAAGAAGTAGAGCACAAACATTACACAAAGCATGAAGAATCTTATTTGAACAGCTTACTTTGCCAAGATGCTAAACTTTATTTCTTTTTTCCTTGGCCTCCGGGTCTCATCATGCCACACATGTGTTTTCCATGCATCCACCTTTAAAGAAAAAGAAGTCATGCTTTAGGGAAGGAATGCAAAATGGTAAATAAACAATTTGTGTATCGTTAAGGGGCCAGATCAAATAGAACCTGTATATACAATCCACTGAGTAAAAATATGGTATCAGTCCCTATTGCATTAAACTGCATTTTACTTAAAGCCAGAGAATTCAACAGAACTAACAGCACCTCCCATGTAAAACAGCTCCTGTCTGCTACTTCTGAATCTGTCTAGTGACCTTTCATGAACCAGGGCTTGGCACCCAGACTCCCTCACGTCCCATATCACATCTGCACTGCTGAGGCTGTCTGCTAGGGTCGGTTTTTCTTTTTGATGATGTGTACCTGGTAGTAATAGAAGGGAGTGAGGACATAGTTCAACATCTCTTGGTGGAAGACGGGGGTTATGCTGCCTGACATGGGAGGCACAATCCACACCCAGTCGGCCGGGCAGCCGCCCCGCGCGCGGTACTCGCTCTGCATGTACTTCAGGAAGGACTCGGAGGCAGAGTGGTGATCCATGATGGTCACGTTCTGTTTCTACAACAATGGCACAAAGGAAAACATGCATTAAAAACCCTATTCTGCCCTTCTACCCAGGGTAGCTAAAGTAATCTTCTTACTTTGGTCAATATTTCAAGGACTTTACTCAGAGTAAAGGGAGTATTTATGGGAAATAAATACTATCAGCAGTTACTCTAAAGATACAGATTGAGGCGCGGGCCTTTGATTAAGAACTCTTAGATCTTTTCTTTAACATCAGCATTTTACCTCTGCAGCACTGGGAGTGCATATTGCAAAGCCTCTGACTCACTTTTACCCACATTTCATATTGTCATGATACGTTAAACTTGAATTAAAAATAAAATATATTAATCCAATGGTTTTACCTAGGTTTTGAAACATAGATAAATGCGTTAAAAGGATGGAAAATCTTTCCCTTAACTTTCTTTGCTTCTTTCTCTTCTGCCTTTACCTGTGAGGAAATATGGATTCCTCCACTTTCTCGTGTGAAAATCAAGAATAACTCTATTGGAATCAAAATGCCATCTCCACTGAGTGAGAGGAAGGGGGGACAGTGAGTGCTCAGTGTCTGTCCAGATCCCACACTCAGTGACTTACCTGGAAGCTGTGAAGCACAGCCACATTGATCTCTACAACAGCTCGGTCCTTCCATAATGATGACAGTTTGTTTGTTTCCAGTCCCATTCTCCTTCCTACCTCCTACATGTAATAGAGAGACAAAAGGGAAAAGCAAATTTACTATATGGAACTGAGACCCCATGATTTCTCAACCTCATCAGCTTCATATCAAGAAAAAGTTGTGCAGAAGAAGAAGGGGAAAGAGTCAGTCTCATGCTGGGGAAAGTGATGGCAGCAGAAACTGAGATTAAAGGTAAACTGGAATTTTGGAGTTCTGGTTCTTGAGGATGTTCCAGCCTCACAAAGCAGGAAGTGGTTGTCTCCCACCCCAGTGAACACTGGTAGTGTCTCTTTTCCAAAACTTCCTGCCCCTTCCCTCCCCTGCAGGCAGCCCAGCTCCCTGCAGAGTCACCTTCAGGACGTTGTAGCGCTGCGCGTCGCAGAAGTCGCGCACGCCGATCTCGGTGCCCATGTACCAGCCGTTGAAGGGGCACGCAGTGAACTCCAGCCCTCCCGCCTCCAGCAGCATGCTGGCCACCGCAGGCAGCGCGTACCACCTCAGCTCCAGATCCTTAAACCACTCGTACCTGCCCAACAAGCAGCTGGAGTTATTTGTGTGTCTTTTTCTCGAAAACCAGAAAAGCCCAGGGAGATAAATAGTACCAGTTCGAGGAGGAACCCCTGGGCCAGGGTCTGCTGAAACTCACTGCAGTTTTTATTGCAGTATTTGGGAATCACCTACTACAGCAACTGCAGAGCCATATTACAGAGTTCTGCAGCCTGCAGGCCAGTCCCAAAACAAACAGGAAGAAAAAAGCAATGAGAGAAAGGCAATAAACTCTGTTATGAGTGCAGTGTTACATGTGTATTACACTAGCATAAGAAATTAGGATTTTTCAAATTCTGAATATAATTGAAATGTAGATTGGGAGAAAAGTTTTCCAACAAAATGGTCATTTGCTTCCTTAATTTAAATCTCATTTCATTGTTCTAACAGGCATTTTATCTTTCAGGATGATTTACCATCGTTTCATCCTGACAAAGAACTCATAAAACAACTGCCACAGGCACAGCCCAATAACCTGCCAAGGTGAGGCAGAGGCAAAAATGCAATTATCTAAATCCTGCGTGCTTACTTTGGATGCTCCATTGGCACTTGGAGGACAATTTCTGGAGGTAATTCAAATATTTCTGGGTCTTGGCCATTTGCTTGGAGAACAAGTGGAAGTACATCAAAGCGGCCATATTTCGGCTTCCACCCAAGCTCGATGCACAACTGCAAATGCAGAAAGCACATTTTGTGTTCTTTTCAGGTTTCCCCTCCAGATCTGAAGACAAAATAATTTTAACCCTCTGAAAACTGCTGAAGTAAATTCTAAGTGAAAAAGGTTCTCTTTGCCATTCAAATAATGTTGAGCCATGCTGATGAAGTGCTGGTTGTGTGCCTGCTTGTGTCCCCTGACAATATTAGCTCACCCTGTTCTGAGATGGAGGGCAGCACTTGTGTATCAGAACTGTAGGGAATTGTTGTTCCAGCCTGCACCTGGAACTTGTGGGGCAGAACATCCCATTCACTCCTCACCTCCCACCACTCTGCATAAAGGTGTGAGGAGGGAGCCCCAGGGAGGTGGGTTAGCCAAGAGGGGAAGCAGCTGTGGTGGTGAGCTTGGAGCTGTACCTGAGTGAACTCCACAGTGGCAGGGTCCCCCAGGACAGAGCCATCTGGCATGGGGTAGCCAGCGTAGCGGATCAGCTGGCTGTTCCACACGCGGAAATCGTGCTGCCCGTCCGTCCGCGGCGGGAACACCGTGATGGCCGACCTGCCCGCGACACACAAACACATCCTCACTCTCCACACTGAAACTGGGACCAGCAGAAAATGTTCTGCATTTCTAAAATGAACATCAGTAGAAATAAAAGAATTTGTCCTCTTTACCCACTTCCCCAAATCTTCATCTCTTTTCCCAAGGAATTGCAAAAGATTTTGTAATATCAGCCATGAAAGTTATAAATTTTCAAGATGGTTGATGGAACACATGAGAGGAAAATGTAAGTACCAGGAAAATTAAGAGCAGAAACAAGTTGTCAAAATTGTTTAGATAAACTATTTCATGGTTTTTGATGCCAGTTCTGGATATGATTTTTGTTGTCTAAATTAAAATTGTTGTTGTTTAAAATTAAAATTAGAGACCTACCTTATATTGCCATTGTTTGTGGCATACTGAATATGATGACAAATATGCTCAAACATTTCCTTGGCTGTTTTACAGTCCCGTGCATCAAACACCTGTGTGTTTCCAACAGAAATGTAAAGAAGACTAATTTTGAAACAGTTATGCAAAGTTGTTATTTTTCCTATGCACTTAAGGAATGGAAAGACTGTGGCTCCACCAGCAAAGGTTCATTTTTTTAGTTCTTATATGCATAATTTTCACCCATAACAATCCACCAAGAACCTAACATGTACCAGGTTCCATGACACACCTGGTTCCCACACTCACACTGCTACACATTTTCATTCAGCCAAGCAGCAGAGAACTACAAAGAAACCAATCTCCTGATATGGACAGGAGGGAGTCCTGCTCAATTGAAACAGTGACATGTTCTAGCAAGGGCAAGGCCATTCTTCTGAGTCACAGAGGACTATTTGGCTGCAGCTCAGGTGTAGATCCACAGCTCACCTGCAGGTTGGACCACTGGATTCTCCCGATGCACCTGGGTGCATTCCTCCAGGCCTGCTTGGCAGCAAAGGTCAGCTCATCCTTGGTCAGGTGGTAGGTTCCTGTTCTTTCTATCTCCTTGGTCACTGCTTCCAGCCGGCCCAGCTGTTCTTTGATTTTTGGCCTTTTGAACAGGAAACAGCCATGAAAAGAAACAATGAAAATTTCATTCAAAGTGCAGACATTATATTTTGGCTTCACAATTTAAAACTTGTTCTTATGGAGTGCAAGGACAGAGCTTATTGGTCCCATAAAGAAACTAACATACCAGAAATTTTAGTAGTGGTACAATCCTTTCACCACCCAATACATGCACGGATTGGCCACAAGCTATTCTGTGTAAGTTTTTGGTTTAAATTTGGATTTTCTAGACAAATTTGAAAAAAATCACAAGGAAATAAAACCAGAAAACAGGTGAGTTTCAGGGCATATGTAGGCTGAGATCTCAAAGATCCATTGTGTTTACAAGGCCACAGCTCCTCTGAGTAAAGTAAGTAGGATTTTCATCCCTAAAGGGAAGTGCTGAGCAATTCCTTTGTCAGGGAAACCAGCTCTAAAATTCCTGAGTTTGATAACAGAGAGTGAAGTCAAAACATTAGAAAATATTTATTACAGCAGAGACAAAAATTGTTTTGTTGTCTTACAGACAGAATGAAAATAGCCTGCACTGTCTGAGAGTTTTCACATTTTCTGCAAGATGAAAGATCAAGGGCAAGCATATGAGATAGTGTAAATCAATGTGATCAAACAGGCATGAGCAGAGACACAGGGATATGCAAATGCAATAGGCTGGTGAGGACAGCCTGTGTGTAAGAAAGGGACTTTCAGAAAGATTCAGAGGGAAGAAAGATTTGAAAGGAGTTCAAAGTGTCTAAAGAAGTGGCCATTATGTGGCTGAGTCCCTCCGACAGTTTGATAATGTTTTCTAGTGGGATGAGCAAACACTGAACTGTTACTTGAAAGCTCATCATGTGGAATGTCACTGCAAGCCCTTGGACATCAACCAGCTGTTCCAGCATTTCCTGCAACAAGATGCCTCTGCCCCATGGCCGTGTTTGTGGAAACACAAACCCCTCTCGGGATGCTCACTGAGCCCATGCCGATAGCACAGAGCAAGGCTGAGAAGCAACACTGGCCTTCCAATCTTTGCCTAAAGCCTTGGGGGGAACACAGAGAAAAGATACTTGGAACAGCACAAACAAAAGGCATTATCCACACTGAGACTGATCTGAGTGCAGCTAATCCCAAGAAAACAGAAGATAATGCTGGCAGAGATCCTCAATGTACTGGAATGTAGCATACTCCAAAGGGATGGAGCTGAGCAGTGCATGGTCCAGAGCCCTTCTCTGTGTTCCCAAGATCTGGGATTGACAGATGGAGCACATGAAGTGCAATGACAGTTTTATCTGGCATTTTTAACAGTCCTTATGTATTTTTGAATGCATGCTATGTAACAGGACAGTTACCAAGAGCTGTGAAGAAACCAAACGCCCCTGGAGGCTCACAGAGAGGCAGGTAGAGGATTTTATACCCAAAAATCAAGTTGACTTACTCTTTAAATGAACTGTAATATTGCTTGAGGAAGTCTCTTGCCTGAGGTAAAAGATCCTCTGGTGGAACTGGCCCATCTCTGGTACCTCTCACCAGGCCCTTTGGGGTCATGAGTGACCCTTGGCAGGCTTTGGTTTGGCAATTGATAACCTGAAAAACAATCAAATGTCAAAAAACAATATTGCACTCTGTGTATTTTAAAATTTATGAAAGCTCCCTGTTCATGTTTCCGTATTTTACCTCTTTTGCAGTCAGGTGTAGTGTGTCAAGAAAGCTGGATCCATTTTCCAAGTTTCTTACTCTTACATGTCTTGGACATCCTGATATTTGATTTGAAACTTTGATGTCATTTGGAGGGAGATTCTGGGTAGAGAACAGATAAAAATGCATACTGTCTTCAGACCTATTGAATACCTTTCAGTTTCATTTTAGATTTAATGTTAACATCAAAATATTTCAGTTTATATTCAAGAAACTAGATATAAATGTGATCTGCTTGAACGTGATTATTTGACTACAAAACTACTGAGCTAATCTACAGTTTGATATGAAATGAGGGAAAAAAGTATTTTTGTAGTAATCAAACAGGGTCTGCCACTGCAAGTACCTTTATAATTTCAGTAAGTCCTCTGAGTATCTTTGAGCATTATAGTCACAGTCTCAGGAAAACAATGAACCAAGTTTAGAGACAGGATAGGTTTGTTACCAAAGGTTTGCAAAGGTATATAAAGGAATCAGGCATCCCAGTCCCTGTGCGGTCACGTCTTCCTTCGAGTCTTATCAATGCTCTGTTTTTGCAGGAAAGAGCTTTCACCCAAAGATGTCCCAGCAGTCCCAACCTCCTGCAACCACAGTCAGACCTCTCAGGAGAGCGTGGAGCAGTTGAGAGCAGCAAGCACCACTCGTGTGAACTGTTACCATCAAACAATGATGCTGGGAACAGACCTCTCCTCCCTCGCTGGGCTTTGCTGAAGTTATGACAGGCAGCCTCTCCATCTGCTTCTTGCTGGGATTCTGCAATTTGGCATCATCCTTTTCTGAGCTTCAATAAAGACAAAGAAAAGTCAGCACAAGGCAGCGTTCTTTATGTCAGGCTTTGTTTCAGCATCGGCAGGAGGTGCTCAGTGCTGTCTCTGAAATACGTACTGAGCCCACAGCCCAGCAGTGGCAGTGGGCAGCAATCAGCAGAAAAGCCACAGTACCCCCTTCCCAGAAAACTGTGTGGAAGGAAAGGAAGGAAGGGAGGGTATGAAACCTGAAATAAGTAACGCCCTGAAGACTGAGAAATTTAAGATGCATGTGCAACTTTTTGTATGCAAGTGTTGGGTATGAACTGCATCACAGAACTACTTCACCAACTTAATTACAGTATAAATAATCACTTTGCTATTTTTGTAGCATACACACCTCCTGAGACTTAGAATACATGAAACCATGTTAGCACACCAAATAAATTTAAGACTACTTTTGAAAGACAAAGCAAGACGATTTACATCCTCAATGACTGTTTGACACAAGTGTTTAATGTTCATTACCAAGTTACATCATCCAGAGACCCACAGTTCTTTGGTGAATATCAGTATTTTGGAAACACATTACAGGTTTCTCCAGGACCCAAACCACTTAATATCTTCCCTTTTCAAATCAAAGATAAACTGTGAAACCATTAAAACCAGGATCTTACCCATGGATCTTCCTATTTTTCTCCACGTTGTTGTTGATATCCTTCTCCCTGGGGTACTGGCTCCTGGCAGCACGAGATTTGAACACAAACTGCCACGGGCACAGCATTTCGTATGGGTTTTTTTGGTGGTTTTACTTCACTGTGCTGAAACCTTGTTTTGTGTGATGTGGGAACACTTCTAAGGACAAAGAAAAACCAACAAGGTCAGTTTTTACCCAAGAGGGCAACTCCCTTTAGCATCTTTCAGAAACTCGCTGGCCTAACTGATCTGATCTAACATCCTGTGTTTAAAATGAAAATTGCTCGATTCTTAGGATAGTGATCCTAAAACTAACACATTGCCAGTGTAACGTGCAGCCATGTACTAATCTAAAACACTGGCAAGAGAACTTCAGATGACCCCCAGTCGTGTAAAGCAGCAAATATTGGTGTCACAGCAGACCACAAGCTTAGCAAAGGGATGTGAAGTGTTGCTGTGTTCTTCACACATTAATGAAAAAATCTTGCTCATATATGAACCTAACCATTTTGCAGTGTATTCACCTGCCAAACAGGATTCTGAGAGGCTGAAGTCTGTAGTGTCTAAGATCTGTAGCACTTATTTCAATGTAACACATAGCATTTACATAAGGGTGTACAAAGTTTATGCTATTCATTCTAACATATATTTTCTGCTCATTTCTGAACATAAGATGGATTTTGTGCTAGGGAAGGTGTGACAGAAGAGAAAGATCATGCTGATAAATTGCAGGGTTAGAGGGAATTAGCCCCAGCATATGAATCTGGTTCATAACAGAAATCAAAACCTGCTGCTTCCAAGAAGTTACAGACAAAGGGAGAAAATAACATTGTCACATATTCCTTTTGTAAATTATGTCTTATTTTGATATTTATATTACTTTTACAGTAAAAGTTAAACTTATGCTGGACAGCAGAAGATACTGTCTGCTATAAAGTCACACAAGAAAAGAAATCCATCCAACAGTGTGCAGAAACTGCAAGGTGTTAGGATTGTTTGCTATGCCAGGTGAGAGAAATAATGTGTAATAAGAATTTCTCTGTGGTTACAAAATAGGAAAAAAAAAATCTAAATTATTTTTCTGTAATAAAAAATGTAGTGAGGTGCCAATTTTGTAAAGTACAGGGGGAAAAGAGAGAAGAAATGGAGAGGGGGAAGAAAACAAAGAAACAAACAAAGAAGGAAAGAAAGAAAAAAAGGGAAAAAGGGGGAACCTCAAACAAACATACAGGGAGAAAAAGGAGGAGAAGGAAGAAAAGGAGGATAAGGAGGGAAAAGATGAAAAATAATAACACGAAAAAAGAAAGATAATAGCCAAAAGAAAAAAACAAGAAGAAAAAACATAAAGAAAGAGAGCAGACTCACATTTCCCTTCACTGGCACTCAGAGCAAGAAGCTGCTTTGTGTCCAGCCTCGTGGGGTTCTGTGGGTTGCACTGGCAGGGTTACCAGTTACATGCACAAACCTTTAAATCAGCAGAAAGGAGGGACAAAGTTTTCAGAGCAGCTGGACAGCTTGGAACTGGAGCAGGAGACCGAGTCTGACACTTTGCTCCTAACAGAGGAAAAAAGATACAGTTTGCCATATAATTACTGCCTGTGAGAGGCAGCAAATGAATGACAGAACAACACCTGGACATGGTGGTGCTTACCGTGCTTTGGGAGAGCTGTCCCAGCCCTGCCAGGAGAGACTCCTCCCTCTCTCAGAGCTCCTTGCCTTCCAGCTCTCAGGCTCTGCATCCCTCCCAGGAGGCAAAAGCATTTTATAGTGCAGAGCATCTATGCAAAATAGCTCTGAGCAAGGCTGGACACGGACAGTGCAATTGGGGATTCCCCTGATTCCAGTCCTGTCCATTGGAGAAGTGCAGGGTGTGTGCTGCTGTGTGAGCAGCGTTACACAACCCGGCTGAGGAGGGAGGCAGCTCAGCATCCCTTAAAGGGCAGGGGATCACACCAAACACTGCTTGCAGCCTTGCACACAGCGTTCCAATTAAAAGAAATAAATGCTGAAGGGCTTCTCACAGCTTTTCTCACTGTGTGGTCAGTGTCCAGGCACCCTCTTGTACACCACACATGGCTGTAGGAAGAGAGTGAGCAACTTCTAGAGAAATGTTACAGAGCTGTAGAGCTTTCCAGCACAGGCCAGGAATGCATTTAACCACGTGCTTATAACTAAGGACAGGGATTTTAAGTTTCACCCACACATACTTCCTTACTTTTTATCAAGTTTTAAAGGATCTTTCTCAACAGAGTATTTGTAGAATTTCTTGCTCTCCAGAGCTCCCTGTTCTGCCTGTGAGATTTTTCCCTTGGTGCCTTTCCAAAGTATTGGAAATACTGGAAGGAAACGGCAAGTTCCTGAAGTACAAACCATCCCACCATGCTGAGTGTGGGAACACCAGAGGGACAGCTGGATGAGGAAGATGGGATTGCTGAGCTGATTTTCAGTCCCAAACAACATGCAGACACGCACCTTTTAGAGAAGCAGGCTTCTCCCCGCAGTCTGGAGGGCAGAACCCCCTCGGGACAGGGCTGGCAGCAGCTCCCAGGGCTGGCAGGCACCTGCAGCCCACGAGCCGGCTGCCAGAGAGTGCCCCAACAAGGATTTTGACCTGCCTTAATTATTTCTGATATTATCTACGGCTCTTCTAAGGAAACTGTTTACAAATTAAAGATGACTAATAAATCTGCTGAATAATGCAAATCAAATGAGGTACATTGATAACTAGGGAAAGATTTACAGTTGCTGACCAAAGATCTACAGAAATGAGGCATAAGGCAGCCAGAGAAATGAGGAAATGTGTGTTCTTTTCTCATCTGTCACTCTTTTACTGGGCAAGCTTGGGCAAGGTGTTTTCTTCTCTCTGTGTCTAGCTTGTCTATTTGAAAATGAATATTAGATGATTGTGTAAAGCATTTCTAGAGGCAAAACAAGTGCTATGCACACGTGTTCATGCACGAGATCCCCTGAATGCATCCCATCCAGGATTGCTAGAGATGAACCTCCTGATAAACAGACCTGAGTTTTCTCAGCATTCATCTGCTTGGCTTTATCAAGCCTGTGCTGCTTAGCATCCACTGCTCAGGAATTTCCACAGTTGGATTTTTCTTTAATGTGGTGACTTTCTTCTCACCAGAATTAGCAGGTGAATCCCTTTGTTTAAAATATTCCAGTCATCAGGCAGATGTAATCAGCAAGCAAAAACGATGTGTGAGAACTGTGCCACTCAATGCCATGCCAGAAAATTCTGCATTTACATTCTTCTTTTGCATTTGCTACTTTGTAACAGGGTTTAAAAATTCTCTTTTCATCCTTTCCCTTTTTATTAACCTCTTTCTTCTATAGAACATGGGGACTGTTAATGTCTAGTACTGGAAGAAAGAACATATCTTAGAAGTTTATTTTAATTCAGTGGATTCTAAGCTTTTAGTATTCACCCTCCTAATTTCCCTGTGCTTGGAACTGCTGAAATCTAGGAAAGGTCATGTAGGGATTGGATATGAAAAATCAGATTTGGGATAACCAGAGGAGGAGAAACATCTTTCCTTAGGATAATTGTTAAAAGGATTGGCTCAGGTACAGCCATTCAGGGAACTGCTTAATCACTGCAGTTGCTCAAATGGGACCTGATTTTTTACTCACTTGAAATCAATAATAAAACTCCTTCTGTATAGTAAGAACAACAGAGAACCATTCAATCCTCAGGTGGATCAGAGATTAACCAAACAAGCTCACTGGGCACTCTTTCTACAAATATTCTACAGGGCTTGGAAGGGTTTTCCTTTAGAAAAGCAATTCTGCCCATTTGAACAGACACTTCTTCCTCTGCCATATCAGAGTGCAAAAACTGGTTGCTTTCCTTGCATTAACTTTGATGAAAGAGCTGCCCTTTCAGAGCAGACTTTGACCTATTCAATGCTGTCATCTTGACTTAAATTTTGTTTTCTTTCTGAGTGTCTGATGGTTTGCAGCTTCAACAATCAGCTCTCTGCAATCTCCTTCCAAGTGAGTCACATTCTGTGTCTGATATTATAATGTACATCCTATCTGCAAGATTCTGCATGAGCTCAAGCAGGCATATTCCTGAAAACATTTACAAATCAGGCTCTGGTTGTATGGTTGCTCCTCTGAGATCAGAGCATTTTGAGTCTTCAAAGAACCAGGACACTGAGGCAAAGTTGATGACAAGGAGGGCTGATCTTCCCAACTTCATGGAAAGCCAGGGAGATGTTCAACTGTCCCAACTTTTCACAGGTTATCAGTGAACTCCTTCTACCTCTCTTTCCCTGACTAATGTAACTATTGTCTAAGATGTCTCTTGCAGCAATGCTGCGTGTGACAGCACAATAAATACAGTACTGCAACCCCAGTAAACACTCAGATTTGTTAGAACTATTCTCACATCTGGTGGTTTCTGACAAAGATACAGTTAATTACAATAATAACTATTGCTGTTCCCAAATATCTCCTCTCATTGACTACTGTAAGTCATCTTCTTTTACACTGGTTTGGTTTTTCATGCCCCAAAAAAATTTGTTTGGTTTGAATCTTCCCCCAAACTTTGCAATGGCAACTCTGTTTTGTTTGTTTGTTTGTTTGTTTGTTTGTTTGTTTGTGTTCTGATTGCTGACTATTCCTTTAAGGACTTTAAGATATTCACCATTAACTGTAGCCCCTTCTTCATTGGCTTCTTTATTATTTCAAAATGTTCCTGATAAAGTGGGGACAATAACTCTACCAAAAGCAGAATAAAAGATCCAGGCCTTGACACTTGAAAATATGCAAATAAAAGAAGGATCCCAGACCAGTCTGGACTATTTTTCAGTTTCTGCAAATTTAAGGTATGTTTAAAGCACCAGTTTAGTGTGGAAAGTGCAATGTTTTGTTTACATGTCCTGCTCTCCAGTGGAAGATTGACTGTCAAATGATGGCAGGGCAGGGTGGAAAATTTCTCAGTCTGACCATCTGAGGGCGAAAACGAAAGTTAAGGAGAGTGCAAAACTTGCAGAGATGTGCCAGTAAACCCATCCCTTCCTGTCTGCTCGCTGTCAGTTAGGCCAAAGTCAGACATGCAGAAAGAACAGAATTCCCTCATCAGCCACCTCTCCAAAACTCCCAGGGAGGAGGAAGTGAGTGAGGACCAAAGGCAGTCAATAGCCAGACTTTGTTGTGCCTGGCTGCACGTTGGCTCGGGCAGAAGTGATTGCTGACACTCCTGACTCACCCCTGAGATCCTCAGCCACAGCTGCAGCAGCAAAGACAAAATTACAGCACAAAATGAGCAAAAGCAATTAACGGTTGACTGGGCCTAAACCTTGGTGTCCTGCATGTGGCTGTCACAAGCTGGGCTCTGTGTCCTGCACTCCCGGACATCATTTCACTGCACTGAGATGTCCCTGTGGGGAGCATAAGGAAAAGCTGGCATGTGGATCTGGAAAAAGTATAGAACAATGTTTGGTATTTCTGCTCCTGCAATCCATGCTTTTCACAGCAGAACAGGAAAAAAAATTACTGTGTGCAAAAAGAGTTTTATGATTTAAAAATAACAGCGAACTACAAAGCTGCAAATGTCTTCTTTAGCAAAATTATGGTCTGAAGAAGAAACTGCAATTTCAGTCACAGAGCACTGGCTGAGGCCAGCAGAATCTCTAACCAAGGACAAGTAACAGAAGAGATTTAAATACTGGTTTTGGAAAAACAACCCATACATTTCTGGGCCAAAATGAAGAACAGAATATTGAAATATAGAAGTAATTTGAGTCCTGAATCTAAAAACTTTGGTGTTTTACTCCAGAACACACAGCACTGTTGGAACAACTTCAGTAAAATGTATGTGCTTCTGTTTATTGGTGATCTCTGAGTCTCTTTTTCTTACACCTGCCTTTATCTACTCAGTTGTTTCTGCACATTCAGGTGTCACACTTTGGACAGTGTACCTTAGTGTACACAAAACCAAAGCATGCTGACCTGCTTTCCATGTTTCCTGCATGGAGACAGGGGTTTTCTCAGGTAATTTTATGGCTCTGCTTTATCTATAAATACTGTTTTACTACCTTAGTTTTTTTTAAGGACTTCTTGCTAAGCACTACAGTTGGGCCAGCCTTGCCTATGCCTGCACGACTTTCAGTGTCTGCATGAGTTATGTCACATTTTCAAAACTTTCCATGAGAGTGAAATTGCTTCCCCTCTGCTGTTCCTGACAGGGAAGTGGTGCCAGAGGGTGTGAGCTTACAGCTCCTTCTCCAGCAACTATCTACCTTCGCCTACTGAAAAAGACAATTTCCATGGGACATTCTTCAGAGTATTTTTAGTCAGTTTTCATTGACTTGGAGCTGCAAGTCCAGCTCAATTGGTTCTCATCTTCCCAGCCCTGCAAAGCGCCTGGCTCCATCTCCTCAGTGACCTGAAAGCCACTGGAAGGCTGCTCCTCTTCTCCTGGCTGAACAAGCCCTGCTCCTCCAGCCTCTCCTCGTGAGGCAGCACCGTGTCCCAGCCCCAAACACCTCCACTGAACTCACTCTGTGCACTGGAGGCCCAAAGTGGACTCAGCAGCTCACCAGTGAAGGATGCAGATACTCCAATGGTGCTGCTTTTCCTTCTCTCCTTTTATAGGAATTCCAGGCTAGGAACCATTTAGCTTAGCTTTCACTCAGTGAACAAACATGCTGCTGACTGAGACAACTCATTGTTGGCCACAGTGACAGACAGGATGGTCTTTGAAGCTGCATTTGGAATGGGGGACCCCACTTGGGAGCTTGAAAAGTCACTTACTGAAAATATAAAAAAGAGATGTGGAGGAATATGTGTTGACAAGGTCAAGTTCTAGAAAGTGATGGCTTTATGGAGTGGGTTAAGTCACAGGGGTTAATCTACAATAAACTGTCCTAGTACACACATCAAAGGATTGTTATAGATTAATTAGCAGGTGCTATTATTAGCCATAACAATTTTTGTCTTAATTTCTGAACGGATAAGATGCAAAACAATTACTTCATTCAGTCTAAATGTTTCACCCAACTCTTGCAGTGAGGGGTATTGGGACCACAGCCTCCAAAGCAAGAGGAGCTGATGTAGAATGTGTATATTATTTACAGGACAGAAATAGCACCTTTTTTGGTCAAAACCATGTTCTTGCATCACCTTGTTTTTATGATGATTACTTTTGATTTAGTCATCTGAAACCTGGCAGAAGGGAAAATAAAGGGGAATTTTCTGTGACTTACAACACAGTCCATTAGGCTTGGGCAGCTCAAGAGACCTCTCTGACCAGTACAAGCTGAACATCACCATGACATTTCCTTCTTTCTTCTTGTGTACCAGCTTCGAAGACTTAATTGCAATCTGAGAATTCTCCCAAAGAACACACCTCTCCTTTTCCTAGTGGTGTTTTTGAGGACCAATAGTTTCTGTTCTTCCATGAAGTGTCAAAGTCCTTGTTCACCGTAACATCTCTGATCCCGATTTTCTCCCATGCTTTTGCTTTTGAAGTGCCATTTGTTTTTAATGGAAGTGCAAAGCTGCATGTGTGAAAGACAGATGACTGCGATGACTGCACATTCAGAAGAGAGAAATGCTCGCAGTTAATGTCTTGATTTGGTAGAATGACCATTGCAGAAAAGGTGACTTCTCAAGTCTCTGCCACCTTTTGAAAAGGATGTGAGAAATGAGAGCTTGTGCATGGTTTTGGTAGGGTCTTGTAATAAGTTCTTACCCAGCTGGATGATAATTCTGCAGGAGACACATCACCCCATCCCTGACTAACCAGCAAGCTGAGTGCACCATGGAGAAGGAAGGACCCAGGCCACTGGTGAGAGAAACAAATGAGCAGGGTATAAACCACTGCCCATCAAACCATCAGCTCATTTTTAAACAGACTGCTGGATTTAACAGTGATAAAGTTGAAAACAAGAAAAAGGGAAGTTCTTCAGCACTAAAGGCAGCAGCAGAATTTTAATAGAGCATATAAGCATAGGAAAAGAAAGCAACTAATTACTGGACAAAAAACTTCAGAATTCTTTCTACCTTCCCCTCACATAAAGTGATGCCTTTGGGCCCAGATTCCAAGCTGATTTATGGAGAATATATTTGCCTTCAGCATCACACCCACCTCTTGAACTTGTCCACCCAGGTAACTGCAGACACTGTGTTTTGTAAAACTGAATAAACAAAACTGTTTCACTTTTAATTCTGGTAACCATGATTGAACACAGGCCACTCTGAGGATTCCAGGGAGTGCAAGATGTTTTAAGATGGTGAACACTACTGAAGCCATGGAGGGTACATGGGAGCCTTTGCCTTTGATTCCAGTGGCTGCAGCTCAGAACCCAAGAAGAGCATGGAAAGTAAACATCCTGATAAGCAATATCCAGACTGCCTCTGTTAGTGCAGACCAAGACAGAATTTGATAGAGAAGGAAGGCAGGATTGGTGTCTCCCATTTAACAGACAGTCCCTATGAATTCCAGAGGTTCTTACAAGTGTTCCAGAGTTCTGTGGAGCAAAACTACATCATTATGAGCTGTGATTTCTTTCAGATACTTATAATATTGAAAACACTTTTAATGTAGTAAATAAATAAGGCCCTCCCTATACAGTGCAATAAAGTGAGCAGATTATAGGTTCAGTACTGTAACCAATCTATTCCTTTCAAAGCCTCATTGTTACATCAAAGGGTTTGTGGCTCTCTTCCTCTCTCAACCAGACATGGATTGCATTCAAGTTACTTTTTATGCTAAATACCACTCATATTGTGTATATTCTTTGTATAATTACCAGCTATAGAATCTGCACCTTTGCTTATGAGGATAATGAAGTTAGAGGGCAGGGACTGGCTCTCCATCTCAAATTTCATGACAAACCCTGGATGCCTTTTCACTGCATTTAATCAATTAGAAATAACCAGATCTGGCATAGTGTCACTGTGACATCCTGCAGGCTCTATTCTGTCAGTTGGGACCAGGATTTGGAGATCTCAGTATTTTTAAACCATGTTTCTCAAACAGTTGTAAAATGATCGTTACCATGTCAGTACCTCCCACCTCAGAGCCATGCCAGTGGAGAATAAGCAATTTCCTGCTATTTGTCCCCTGAGTCTCAACCTGCCTGAGAGCTGCTGTGTGCCTTTTAAAGGTCTCCTGAGCTAAGCACCTCAAAGGCAATCTGAGAATTACTTTTGAAATCTTGGCCAGAAAGCTGCAATGTACTCTGTGAGATACTTCCAGCTAGGAAAAGGACAAACTCAACAGAGCTCTTGGGGGAGAGAAAGTTCCAAGGCTCAACAGGTGTCTGCATTCTGTACTGTAAACTGTGGTTTAACACACCATTTCTGTGACCTCTAAAAATGGGAGGGAAAAACAGAAAATAAAAGAGAAAGCAGCCCTTGCAGTTGCAGTTGTGGAAACCAAAATACTCTATTTTTAAGCATGAAAAGTCACTCCCCAGATTGATTCAGTATAAGGAAGGTGGCTCCAAAATATACAACCTTTGCCTCTGCCCACCATCATGACACAATATTTTCCAGACTAAGTTCTCTTTGACATTTGTTTTCAGTTTTCCTTGTTCCTTGTTTCACACTAGTTGAG